ACCATCGAGGGACGATCGCGAGAGGCAGCGCTCCCTGAGGGATCAAGAAGATCGGGAGCATTCGTCCAAGGATCGTGATAACGATGAACGTGATAGATTGAGGGACGAGAGGTAATACTGTTGGACATTGTATATGTCGAGTCTGAGATGATTATTCTTTAGTTAAAGAACATTAAGCTCTTTCTCTTGAATCAATATAAGAAAAATTCAAGGCTCACTCGAAATAAATAAAATGAAATTAATGATGCCTTTACAAACCGATACAGGATAACGGTGTATAAATAAATTTAGTCCTGTCTGTTCGAGAGTCAAGAATCGAATGATACAATAAATAAATGTTGATCTAATAAGAAACATTGAAGAGAGAAGTATCAAGTCATAATAAACAAAAATATGTAGGATCTAAACGCTTTGTGTCCGTTTTTAAATTCAACCCATGTGTCTATTTTTGTATGTGTATTATTTCCGATACATATAGTGTATCTGATTTTTCTGTAAAATTTTTCCTCATCAAAGATTCTAATGTTATCCCAATTAAAATTGCGTGACGTCTCCAATTTGTGTTCTATCACTGAACGCTGTGTCGTTTTTCGATTGATATGATTCTTGTGCTCGTTAATCCTTGTTTTTAAAGTTTTTTGCAAGTTTGTCCCATATTAGTCGCATTACATTTCATGCAATCAATTTTATAAACTACGTTAATGCGCGACAATGTAGGAAGCTTATTTCCTTCGGAATTTTAATAAACTTACTTAGCTTGTTGATATATGCCAATATATGCCAAATTAATAATATGATCTTTCTTAAAATTTTTTTTTATTTTCTCCGAAATCTTGGCTAAGAATGATACGGTAGAATACCTACGTTTAACTCTAACGTTTTTATTATCGTTGAAGTACAATAATTTGTATTCAAATTATTGGAATCTCTGTTAATCTGATCAAATTTTTTATGCAACCTTTTTCTGATAGTGTCAAAGATAATTTTAATGGATATCCATTATTTAATAGAATTTTTATAATTTTATCGAAGTTTTTGTTATGGAAATATCCTAGGATAAAAAAAGAATCTTGTCAACTAGATTCACTACTATCTTCATCTTCTCTAATATCGGAAATAATACAAAAATAGACACACGGATTGAATTTACAAACGGAAATGGAGCGTTTAGATACTACATATTTTTATTTATTATGACTTGGTGCCTTCCTTCTCTTCAATGCTTCTTGTTAGGTCAACATTTATTTATTGTATCATTCAAGTCTTAGCTCTCGAACAGATAGAATCTCAAATATATTCTATATATCTTTTACATATAAGTTTCTTTCATTAGTTTTTATTTAAATTTTATATAATTGATATACATATTGTTTCTTGTATAATAAATCTGCCAATTTGGTATCGATCTATCTATGGATTAATATATTTGAGGATGTTAACACAATAATAACTTATTAACAACAATTCATCGTTATGCGTGTTTATATTTTTGACTTTAGATTAAAGATATTGTAAGACTAATTAGCAATTAATCCGATAGCGTACTTACATCACATCTTTATTATTGTATATATATAATAATATTAGACAGTTGATTTTTTTATTATTAACGTACTGAAGAGGACCCGAACAAAAAGAGTGGAAACTTATATTATATTGTCATTGTATTAATGAATGAATTTATTTATATACACCGAATGAATTTATTTACACCGTTATCCGCTTTGTTCAATCATTTTACATTTCGTAAAAGAAATTATCGTGATCATATTACAAAGGATTATATTTGTAATGTATTGTATTTTGTGCTTCAAAGGGGTCGCGAACGTGAGGATCGTATACGCGAGAGGGATGACAGAGATCGCAGAATCATAAATAGAGATCGTGAGGATCGCGATAGGCAAATCCCATCTAGAGAACACGAAGATAGGATACGAGAGAAAGACGAACGCGACAGAAGAGAAAAGGAGAAAGAACGAGATGATAGACACATTCGCGATCGTCGAGATGATGACAGGCATATCGAGAAGAAAGATTATGACAAAGATCGGTATGTTCTGTATCAATCAAGTTAAAGAATCAAGTGAAATCAAATTAAAGTTATTCAGCACGTTAGCAAGAATCAATATGTATAATAAAAATTTTAACACACATTTGTTATTTAAAATTCTGTGCTAAAAAAAGATCAGTTAATTTACTAAAAAAAGCTTTCAGTTAATTTACTAATGTGAAATCATTTATATCTTTATCTATTATTGCAGTTATAGAGATGATCGAGATCGCCATCGGCAAGATGACAAGAATCGGTTGCGAGAGAAGGAGAGACGCGAACGCGAATACGAAACCGAGAAAGACAGAGATCGTCACGAACGATACGAGAGACGTTCGATGGAGCGGAAAAAGAGTAGGAAAAGCTTAAGTCCATACTCGCAGAAATCTAGGGGCGATCCTAAAGATTTGTCTCCAGAACGAAATGCGAAAAAGAAAGAAAAGGATCATGAGGAAAAAGTAGAAGAGAAGAAGAAAGAGAAAAAGATAAAAGAAAAGAAGAAAAAGAAAGATAGTGATGAGAAAGAGAAAAAGAAGAAGAAGAAGAAGGACAAGAAATCTAATCAGAAAGAAGTAGCGAAGGACGATTTGACGATTAAAACGACAGAGACGGACGATTTGCTAGTTGAGAGTAAAATAAGTAACGACACTTCGTCTTCACCGCCCGACAAAACCGACTCTATAAAGGTGTGTAACGAGGAAGACAATATACAGAACAGGATCGAATGTATTTCCAATCAAGTGTCTATCGCGCCGATCAAAGAAGAATTCGAGGATAAATCTCTGGCGATGAATCCGGAACCGCCGGAATTCAACGAATCCAGTCCTGGCAGTGGTCGATTAGATCGCACGGAATTTGGTACGAATCCACCGAATCCAAACTTCAAACCGATTCCAGAACTCAAGTCGGACATGAAACCGATCGATAGCCTCTACGGAGGATTGGATGACACTGAAATTAACACTGTGATCACGGAGAAGTATTCTTTACTTTCGGAACATTCGCAGACCGAGACGAAGGAAGCTACCATCATGCTGCCAACGGAAAAATCGCCGAAAAAAGACGAGTTTCTGGCACCGATACCCGAGTTGTCCAAGTGGGAAAGGGATGATACGATCGAAAAACCCGATGATGATGACGATGACGATGACAACGTGAGTGGATCGCCGACGGAGAAAATACCGAGAGAGGATGAGCCGAAATCGATCAAGATGGTTACATCGGAGGTACTGAAGCGTGCGGAGAACGCCATATTCCAAAAAGCAATTAATGCGATCCGACCGATCGAGATCAAGAAGATCAGCGAAAGCAGAAAGATACTGTATCAGAATCCCGAGCCTAAGGTACTGGAGACGGTGGAGTCCGCATCCAATCGAGAGCCACGAAAGAGCGTCAATGTGACGATCAACGTTGGTAGAAACGAGAGGAATGTCGAAATCACCGAGCCAGCAAAGAAAGCCAAGCTCGATCGTACCAAGTTCAAACCCGTACCAGAGACAGCCTACTCGCCGACTAGGCTGTCTGCGAAGGAGAGACTCGGCGAGAAGATCGAAGATGGCAAGGAAAGAAAGGTTAGTCCTATAAAGGGATTTCTGGAGAGGCGTGACGCCAAGAACGAGAATCAGTCGAGAAGTCGATCGCCTAGGAGAGAAAAGAGACTCTCTCCTCCGCTTTTAGAGCGGCGCCTAGAATCCTCTTCGTTGGGCTTAACTGCTACAAGCGGCGAACGAAAAGTGTTCTTGGAAGAGAGAAAACGTGATAACAAAGATAGAAGCGATCGACCAAAGGAAAGATCGGATTTTCGAGGTGACAGGCATGGAAGCGAGTTGAAATCCGACAGGGAGAATAGAATTGATTGCAGAATGGATTTTCGTTCCAATAGAAGCGACATCAAAGGAGAACGCGTGGATCGCGATAAGGAAAGAGATCGCGAACACAGAGGTAGGACACCCTCCTCGACTTGCATATTTAAAAGAACAGAAATAGCCAAGATCGGCCTGTTGAAGTCGAAGGATGACGAAGAAGAGAAAAAACGTGACAAGAAGTCTCGGGAGGAAAAGAAGAGAAAGAAGGAGCATCGCAGTAGGAGTAAATCCAAGGAGCATAAAAAGCGCAAAGAGAAGAAACACAAGAAGGATAAGGACAAAAATCAGGAAAAAAAGCAAAAGCATAAGGAGAGTGCACTCTCTAAAGACAAATCGGATGGTAACGAGACCACCAAAATTAGTTACGAGAATATTGAGCCGCCTTTAGCAGAATCGTTGAAGAAACAAAGGAAGAATCCGAGACTGGTGTCTGATCGCAAGCGCAGCATACTCGACGAGGCGAGTTTCGAACCCGACTACTCTGCTTCGGACTCGGAATCAGATGGTGAGGAAGGAAAACCGTCACCTGCGAAGAAATTGAAGCTTGACGAAACGGAAGTGGACAAAGAAATGGAGATCAAATCTTTGAAGAAACGATCCAAGTCAAGCAGTAGCGAGGACACTTCCAGCAGTTCCGACACTACGAGCTCCGATTCAGATAGCAGCGACGAGTCGCACAAGAAGAAAAGAAAGAAGCATAAAAAGCATAAAAAGAAGAAATCTGCGAAGAAGGACAGCAGTTCGGACTCGGATACTTACTCTGATTCGTCCGACAGCAGCAGCGACGAAGAGAAACACAAGAAGAAATCGAAAAAATCAAAGAGTAGAAGCAAGCAGTCAAGGAAGAAGAAGAAATCCAAGCACAAATGACATCACTAGACGTCTCTTTGATGTTCAATCAAAGAATCTTTACCTTATCTTATCTTACCTTACCTTAGAAAGAAACAATGAAGGAGGAAAAAAGGCCAGAACTTTTTTTTTCATATAGTACTTTTAAATATCATGGCAATCGTGATAATAATTATTATTTCGTACTCATTGCTATAGCTCAAGGCGTAAACAAGTTTTTTTTTTAATACACGTCATTTAGCAGTAGAATACTATTGAATGATTTATTGGTACAAATGGTAAAAGGTAAACATTGAACAGGCAAAACAAATTAACGTGATTTAACGAGTAGAAAAAAGCAAAAGCTGGAAATTGAGAATACCTACAATAGTTAAACTGTTCTAACGTAAAAAAAAAGAGGAAAAGAATAACATGATATAGCCTTTGCATAATTGTCATGTTCCGACTTGATATATTAAAAATAATTACTGCTATGTAAGTTTATTATAATAAGCCATGTATACATTGTAGCCGATATAATTTTGTGGCAATTTTGTCAAGAAGCGGTAAGTCTTTAAACAACTTACAATTATATAATGAATATAAAAGAGCAATTTTAAGATCTCTACTATCTATATACATATATATTTCTTTCCCTCCCTCTTTCACCATTATATTGTACTTTCATAATTTAATGTCAATATGTAAGAAAAATCACGAAAAATAAAATGATAAAATTCTTTTAACATATTCTTGTGTCTCACATGAACATATAGAAATAAAAAAAAAGATGACCGCGTTCATCGTGCTATATGTTACATTATGTAATACAGCTTTGTTATTATTAACAAAGAGTTACCATGTGTTACAGATGGGATTTAAGTACTGTGTTTGGTTTTTATTATTTATTGTAATAAATATAATCTGTATATATCTAAGCTTGTGCATGTTTTTATGTTTGTACATATAAAATAAGTGTGAGATTTGTAACATATAAATATATAGGAAATGAATAAATAGTAATTAAAAATCGCAATTGAATACATGCTCGTGTAGATCTTATAATTAGGTATTTTTTAAATTGGTAAATGTTTGTACAAGACCACACAACAGCGGTAAATTTTTGCTCTTTCCGCTATCTTTTACTCCTAAACCTTGTGCCAGAAGTTTACGATCCAAGCAATGTTTCGGAAGATCGCATTCTGAAATAACATCTTTTATTCAATTATATTACTTTATCCACACATGAGATTTCGTTCAAGAAAAAAAATGTATTATCTCACACTTTATATAGTCCATTACATTCAAGTTAATATAATGATTATATCAGTGAATATGTGTGTGTATATATTCATTCCATAAAATAATGCACCTGCGATAAATACAGTGGAGCTGTATTTATAACCCATCCAATCCAGATATTCTCGGACAAGTTCATTGAGAAAAACAATATCGTGTGAAGGTTTGATAGTATTTGATTTGTTTTCCTTGCTAGAATAATCGAGCAATTTTATTACTTCTGTACGCATTTCTGCTTTCATTCGATCAAGATTTCCATCGGTCTTTAGGGATTCTCGTACAGCTACAAATATAAGTAAGTTTTTTATATCTAGTAAAGTATAAAGTAAGTTTTTATATCTCATATACTTTTATATCTCAGATACACAATGAATGCTGATAAGAAAATCTTTAATTAGATATCATATTATGATATAATAAATGGATAGAAAGTATGTAAGCGATAAAAGAATGAAAAAATAAAAATATTTTCTATACAAAATAGTACAAAGTATTATTGCTCGAATCATATAGTTTACGAAACGTGTCGAAATATAAAGATGATAAATTTATACATGTCAATAATTCCGTAATTTTCTTCATTGTAAAATATTTATAAATATACAATAATTTACATGATTATACCATTTATCAAATCTTTTTCTGTTGCCATTTCACGTTTGTCTCATTCAATATTTTTCGGAAATCCAAAATCTAAACAAGCTATAAGAACACATTTACGGTTTAAAACTTTTGACTGCTTTTGACAATTCTTTTCTTGCCGGACCATGCATCAACCGATAAAGACTCGAGTGGCCAATAACTTGACCAATTACACTCGAGAATTCCAATCGTGAATGGTTGTGTTCTCAAAGTTGTGTCGAAAACTGTCTTTTTAGTTACAAGGTTGATAGCACTGTAACTAATGCCGGTCTACAACAGTTTACAATGACTTCTGCTACACGGCACGCTTAAATCCGATCTCCACGATGCTAGAATCGGTCCAAGATCTCGAACAGAAAAAATTAACAAATCATATTTGAACAATTTGATCACATGATCATTGCAATTGATCAATTCTTTCTTTATCAGAGGCGTCGGACCGAATTCTAGCGTCATGGACACAAGGGTGCATTCGTTTGTGGATAACGCATCCTTTGCTTTCTTATCTGCTGGTGACATGACCTAAATTTACCGAATGAATCTCTGCATAAATAGCTACTCGTATTAGATCGTATCTTCCAATAGAAATTCTGGAAAAACTGAGCTGATTGAAAATTAAGGCCCAGAACTCTATTCTTGAACAAATATCGCATACAGAAATAGCAATTCCATATACAATCGATCAATCACAATCGAGAAACTGTCATTTTCTCGATTTTCTCTGCATGCAAAAATTACATATACATATATGTGCTAAAAAATAACCAGTTTCACAACTCATGATTAACTCTTAACTTATTCTTCATCTCTTTTTAATGTTAGAATTGAAAAAAAATAAAAAATAAGTTGAACCTCGGTTAAAAGTTAACCGTGAGTTGTAAAAGTAGGCTTAAATAAAAAATCCGGAAATATTAAATAAACCCCAAAATATTATAAAATTTAAACTTATGAAAAGAAGAACATGAAAACTACCGCACAAGATATTGTTTGTGATATTTAATTATCATTACATTAATAAAACATTAGACGTTTCGGCCACAATGTTTTATTAATGTAAAATGATAAATATCACAAACAGTACAGGGTCCATTATAAAAGTAATGCGCATTTTCTGGGAAAAATAGATTTATTGATCGTAGCGGTAAATGCTCGAAATTCTTCAAAATACTCTCCCCCTGAATCAATACATTTGCGGAGACGTGTCTGCCACGCCTGGAAGGCACGCTGAAACTTCTCGACGGGAATGTCTCTTAGGAACATTGTAACATGCTTTTGGATGTTTTCCACGGACTCCCAATGCTTTCCTTTCAGCTCTCTCTTCAGACGGGGAAACAAAAAAAAGTCGCACGGAGCCAAGTCGGGACTGTAAGGGGGCTGGGGGACCACCGGGGTGTTGCTCCGGGCCAGGTAGTTGGCAACGATGAAGGCCGTGTGGCTGCGGGCATTGTCATGATGGAGCTTGATCGCGTCTTTGATGTCAGCCTTCACGCGCGCGACCCGGCGTTTCAATCTCTTGAGCACCTCCAGGTAGAAGGCTGAGTTGACAGTTTCTCCCTGCGGTACAAACTCAAAATGGACGATTCCTCGGACGTCAAAAAAGACAATGAGCATCGTTTTGATGCGAGACTTGCTCATTCGCTCCTCCCGGCCCTCCTTGAACGCCTTGTGCCACCTCCCGGACTGTGACCTTGAAATGCAGTCGTCCTTGAAGGCCTCTTGAAGCATCTGGAATGTTTCGGTTGCATTCTTTTCAAATCGCACGCAAAACTTGATGGCGTATCGCTGTTCAAGCGAACGCTCCATCACGCCGTGTTACAAAGTCGAAAAACACACTTCACGCGGAGGCACGTCTTTCCATTCAGATTGCTCGGAGCAAACTGGCGACCGGCTACCCTGGCCGACCCATTTTACCCCGCTGCGATGGATATTCGCGTCACAATAAAATCATGCGCATTACTTTCATAATGGACCCTGTATCTTGTGCGGTGGTTTTCATGCTCTTCTTTTTATAAGTTTTGATTTATAAACCACGTTCGTTTTTATTATGTATTATAAAATTTATTTATAAAAAGTTCATAATTCTTATGTGTTGATATTTTCAATCTACATCAAAAAGATGTGATTTTTAGGTTAATCCGATCGCAAATATAAATTAGCGACTTCACACCTTTTCCATGATATATCTTACGTTGCATTATTTTCACTTTAGTAGGATTGACTTCGACAAGTTGTTCTTAACCTTCTTTTTAATATTTTAATAAAATTTATTTTTAGTAATACAATGAGTTATTATAGCCGGAGGCGTTATGACCTTTAGCGCCTTACTTTAGCTGGAATTTGCTTTTGCACTCCATCATAAGGATTGTTAAGTCTCTGAAGCAGCAATCCCCCGTCAACAGCAATGAATTAACAACTAAAGGAATTTCCACCAATTTGCATAACACAAGAATACAAATACAATAAATTTCATATTTTCTTTTGTAATAATATATTTGACGCTTAATGCAACATACTATATTATATTTTCTGGCTTTAGTTTTCGAAAATATTCTGATTACGTCTTCAATTGTTACGTAATCAAATTGTTATGTAATCAAAACTGTTCGCCAATTTTTTTTCAATTGATATCATAGCTAAATTACATGACCGCGTCTGCATCATTGTATTTCTCAAATAATTCTTTATTATTTTTAATTTTGAAAAAAATGCCTCTATAGTTGCCACAGACATAAGCACAGTTAATAAGAAACGCTGTTGCTAAATTTGAAAATATTTCCAAAAAACCACTTTTAGCTAATTTATTTAAAATATCAAGTAAAGTAGAGCTTTATATTTACGAATAGCACTGCCTATTAAAATTTTGCGCCCTACGCTGAAGCGTATCTACTCAGTGTCTCATAACGCCTCCGATTATAGCTAACGGTATTATGAATTTTGATTATAGTATTTTATATAAATTACTGTAAGTTATTTTTGATTCTGTATCTCTTTTTTTCATACTAATAATATTTGAAGGCATTATTCTACAATTATATAATTTGCATCCAAATTAATAATAAATTTGAATATTCAATTTGTATACAATAATAAATTTGAATATTCAATGTTTATATCCATTCTTTACATTTGTTTCGACCTTCCAACTTCAATCAACGATTCAATTGTAGAATAGCAAATCGTATTCATGTGTGATATATTGTAGCGACAGCCGATATCGACATACGATATCGACTGATTGTAGAACGGGCCTAAGTAAGTGTTATGACAATTCTTGTGCTCAGACGCTTAGTCGTATCGTTAATCACGCGCACTGACTGTGAGCATTAATATAGAAAGGTGGTCACTTCTAAATTTGTAAAAATTTCCGAAGGAAAGAATCGAAGTCTAGGGAATCAATTCTGTATTTTGAAAATTACAAAGTGAGCGAATTTACTAGAATACTGATAATTTCATTGGTCAACATCTAATAAATTTGCTCACTTTTGTAATTTTCACCTCGTTTCAAATCGATTCTTTCCTTCGAAAATTTTTACAAATTTAAAAGTTACCACCTTTCTACATTAATGCTCACAGTCAGTGCGCGGTTACGCATTGTAGATAATATTCGTATTTAAAGTAATGTTATTTAACATAAATATGTCCCAATTTTATTGTTTATACACGCGCGTTGAAAAAATGCGTAACTCTCTATACATATCGGTTATTGCGAAGAATATTGCTAAAGTCTCGATAGTCTAAAGGCTTAGGACGCTTGCACGGATTGCAAGAGATCCGGATTCGACTCCCGGCCGAGGCAATATTTTTCGCAATAAGTTTATTACAGTTTTTTAAGATTAATTTGGAAAATTGGGGGGATTATTAATATAGTTCAGACTGATTGCATTGAAAGTCCGACAACCATATCGGCACGTAATTATCATTTCTGAAATTAATTCATTTATATGAATATATATATTAGTTCAATATCTCAACACTCAGACCGTAGTGGCGCTTCGTATTTTAAAGTAATGTCATTTAACATAAACAGTCTTGTTTCCAACAATCTTATTGATCTTTTATATTTAATATTCGATCTATGATGATGTTAAACTAATGAATTTCTAAATATATGATTTAAATGAACTGGAATGACTTCATACTCTTTACAACACAGGTAACTCTCTATGGGCCTAAGGCCCGTTCTACAATCAGTCGGATTCGGGCGTCGTACGCATTATCAGCTGATAATCCATTATCGAATGAAGTTGTAGCAAGTCGGCTGTCGTTGTCGGAATAGAAGATGGTCCATTCCCATCTTTTCCGACTACGACTAAATGAAACATAACACTTCGGACATATTTGTGTATGGATAAACAGATATTTTTATACGATATATGGATATATTTATATTATATTGGGTCATCTAAAAAGTATCCGCGGTACTTTGTCACTAGATATATTGGGTCATCTAAAAAGTATCAGCGATTTTTTGTCACTAGATGTGTGTTGATGGTTATATATCTAGTGACAAAGTACCGTAGTATACGGATACTTTTTAGATTTCCATGACTCTTCCCATTCTCTCTCCGGCGTCATGGCGTGCCGCGTGCAGACCTCGTGTAAGTCTCTGCGATAGTCAGTAAGTTAGAACTCGGACGTTAAAGCTCCGAATTACTTTGTGTATTCCGCGAGGCCAATACCGATCATTATCCATGTCCGCGATAATTATTAGCGTCGTCAGATAAATTCTTAGAGTGTATTTTCATAGTTCTAGTATTGTAACTCCGCGACACGATGCCGGTATCCGAGCCGACTTACACGCGCAATCACGTCTCTACTTTCTAATCAACATTTGTATTCAGTATTTAGTTAATTAGGCATTAAGTGTGTATTAAAACGCCTCATGGCATAAAATCAGAAGCAGTGCGTAGCGCTCATTCTCAACCTAACTTTTTCACTTGCCTTGTCAGGTTTGTTTCCCCAGCGCCCCCAATTTGCGTAGCACGGGATCCAATAGCCGCAGGTTTTCGGACCATTATGCCCTCTAGTGTTACGTGTCTGAATTGTCTCAATTTCGTCATAATTTTTAGGGCAAGAATGGGTGAATGGAATCATCTATTATTCTTACATCATGACTATGGAGGATAGAGATTAAGGAGACTGACCTTATATGAACGAGGCCGTCAAAAGCGGGTCCAAAAGTGGTCA